TTTGGATGGAGACTTCCTGCCCATGATTGTTCATACTCCTGATTATGCGATTTGCTGGACCCAATTACAGTTGCTACAGGCAACCATATGTGGTATTAAGGAAAATGAGGCAGCCACATTGTCCTGTGTCCTGCAGCTAACTAAGCTAGCATTTCAGTACGACTACTCAGAGATATTTAATATCTTGGTGGGGTTATTAGAACATTTCATTCAGGTAAGTAATACCAACTTGCGAAATGAGCTATTTAACTCTGTACGAATTAGTTAGCTTTGATGTCGTAAACAACCATACGCTATCATATCAGCTTATTCCAGTTATTGTTTTGCATTCATATGATTAGAATACTCTTTTGAGTTTACCTGACTCCCCTGATGCCGCTGTTCGGGCTTATTGGCTTGACAGCCTGTCAACTCTTCGACTGCTATGTGGTCTACGTAGCATATTGCTCCAAGAAGATGTTCAAATTCAACAACAAACCAAAGGCGACTTGTCAAGCATTCTGCCCCCAGAACTAGATAAGCTCAACCGAGTTGTCTCTTCTATCAAAGCTGGACACTCAGTTAAAATGAAAAGGGTAAGACATCTGATTTTGAGGATGAGTTTATGTTATGCAAATAATTCAACCCTTGCACCCATGAGCCACATAGTTCCCATGTTTTCTAGAACCGATTTTAGGTAGTTTCATCACTGGCATGCAGTTGGATGCTAGAGAGGCCTTTTTGAAAATGAATTATTCTATTCGATCAGGATGCTTTTGGTCAGAATTATTCCTTGTCCCATTTATTAAGGAACAGTGATAAATGGCAATTTCAATGAACTCTAGGTGATTCTGATAGACCATATCTGAATTACCCAAATAGTGAGTTGACGATAAAGCTATTAAACTTTAAGTTCAGATTTTACTTCCATTGAGGAGCTAGTAAGGACCCCGGAGGTTTTGCTTCAATCTATTAAACTTAATCATATAATGGTTGGTATAAAATAGAGAATTCGACATAATGGGATTCTGAAAATCAAAACTCGAAGATAGTATATATATATATATGTATATGTACATACATGTATATTCCTCCTATATCAGAGTCTTGCTTTTATGTATTCCTATAAGTATAAAGATTATAGTGAGCCCAAAACGCCTACACTGGTTTATCGCCCTTATCAACAATTACACTTCAAAAATATGATATTGGCTAGGCCTGTTCTTATTTTAATTAACGTTTGCCCTGTGACTAAGGGACACCAGCGGTAGTCAGGCGTAGCGGTAACGTTTCGAGACTATACGAGTTCGAGTCTCTTAGGGTTGCTGACGAGACATAGGCGAGGTCGAAATTGCAGTCTACTCTGGATCAAAATAATTTTTAAAAGCAAAGCTGTGCGAAATTCAATAAAGGTCTACTAATATATTCATTGGAAAATTCAACTATCAGTTTATGAACTTATGCGACCCAGGGCGAATACAAATATTCTTAAATATCTTTCGGTAGAAGTTGTTTGACCTCGTTTTCGCAACTTGGTAATACTGGTAGGAAGACTTAGAGGAGCGCACCTAGTCCGGAGTCCATTGTATGCGTGATAATGTCCAAAGTCGGACCGTGGACAGGGTACATTCTCAGATGTTTCGCCGGCATCGTCAGTGAGTTTTGCCATTCTAAGCACAATACTAAAACTGGTCAAAGAGACAAGTCAAGCCGATCGTTTGACCAAATATATGCCAAACAGTTGTGACCTTCTGCCCTGGGCTATTCACATTTCCTCGTATCACGCCTTCACTTTTACAATTTTTTTTAACTTGCTTCTTTAGATGTACCCTTTTGAGCGGCTTCATG